GTGAATGTTCGGTAAGAGTAAAGACAGATCTTTCAAAACCAGAATTCGTCACAAGGAAATATCAATACGAAGGTCAAAGGACACCGGTCACATTTGGCTTGGGTCGAGGGAAGAGGTGGGATAACATGCTCCTTCATCGGAAACACATCATCGGCACCAAACTAACCACATCAGCAATAAAGACTAATATTTTATCATCCTTAAACATCCTTGGTTCAAACAAATCAGTATAATATAATATAACATATAATATTATACACCGTGATGGAATATCTTCACTGGCATAAAATGCAATGCAAAGCCTATTTAGAGAGCATGAAATAAAGAGACAACTTTTTACCGGATCCTGACCACGGAGTTTACAATCCACACCCTGACATCGGTTTTCAGCTCTTCTGTGGTTCACGTATGCCAAAGTGGCTCTTGTCTGAAATCACGAGCACAGTTGATGTGGTGAATTCGAACAGACTCACCCATTGCCGCACTAATGTGGTAGAATGTCCGGTTAACGTGTGATACAATGTGTTTTGTACATCTCGCACGAATTTGGGCAAGCGATCGATCAAATCGATCAAATTCATTCGTACGTGATTGGCCTGACTACAGGACGTTTCGATATTCTTCAATAGGAAGCTCGGACTCCATTGATCTGGGTAGGACTCGTTCAGATAGTCAATTAACTTCGGCTAAGAAAATTGAATTGGGAAATTTCAGATCAAGAAACGTCATGAGTAGTGGAACCAAACACACATGGTGTCGGAAATGACGAGCATTTTTGCTACTACCAAACTACCCCATTTCCATGACAATACATTACCGTAATCGCTTAATTGATAAAATTGGTAGTTGATTTTATTGTATTTCCAAGTTTATTTCAGCACAAAGCACACAGTTCTGTGAGTAGAAAGACAAATTTCTGACGAAGATGAATGGAGAAGAAAACTGCATGCGTAAAAATATGCTTGCATCTCAGGAGTGAATAGATTTTTGTTAACCAATAAACAAACAAGTTACATCCTCCGAGTTTTTTCTGGTGAGTGAGTTATGGGGTTGGAGCTGCATTTTGACAGATTGATACCAACTACCTAAGTGGGATCAAAGAGCAGTGTAACAGAAAACCTAATTTCTTCTTTATCAGTTCAAGGAACTGAAAAGAGAAACTTTATGAGCATAGCGTGGAGCAATCTTGTAGAATCCTTCATTAACGGGTCTGGAATAATCACAGGAGAACAATAAACTTAATAGGACACACTGGGAATCCACAGAAGGTGAATAATCACCCATGATACAAAACTCTCTAATCTTTCGATTTTTGAAAGAAATAGAGCACCGCCAGTACAATAGTCTAAATGGCTGGTAACATTGACTAGATGCAGCGCTGCGTAACTGAAACATCGAACTGTTAAAGTTCAACTTACAAACTAAGAGGGACAACACAACATATATTAGCACACTTGGATTGAAACACTTAGATGCCGTAATGAATTTGAAAACGCAAGTCAAAAGACAAACACATCCAGAGGAATTTCGTTCGTGTACTCTCATAGGTGAATTAGGAAAGTGAAGTCAATTGGGAAATCTAGTTCAGTTTTATCATACCTATGCATGCGTGTGCCCACGTGATTTTCTGTAGTTGCGCCTGATTGGTTACAGCCAAGGATGTTCACGGTAAAAGTTATACGCACAAGGTGGATGTGTTGTGAGCGACCGAAAATGCCTCCAGCATCTTCAGTCGATGTTTGTCGCAATGAGGTTACAAAACTGAGAACGTGTTTACAGGGTCTACACATTGCGACTGCTTTCAAACAAGCGGCTTGCGATGACCGAATCTGGTCTACGTAATACCGTCAGAATGTGTGGTATAGACTGATTCACTGATTTATGCACTAACTTATGAAAGTTTTTGATCATTCCATTTCGCAACGATCACTCGGTTCTACCAATATATGCTTCTTTTCAGCCGCAACACAAGGGATAAATTCAGTGGGAGGGTTTCCAAAACTCAGCTGTCTCCTGACGGTCCATATTATCTATGCATGGCTCGCCCTACCGCGAATGAGCCTAGTGCCTCGTAGAAATCCTTCAAGTAGCATACAAACGCCCTGGCAATTACACCTTATGTAACTCCTTTCACATTTGTTATATTTTGTCCGATTTGAATCTACCTGGCGAAACAATAAGTTCATTCAGTATCATTCAATTATCCAGAAACGTCTCCCTACATGAAACCGTAGACTTCATTTGTGAGTTCACCACCTTTATCACACCTGCATTCATTCTGATACCTCTTATTTTACTGTGCACTGAAAAATTGCACTTCCAGTTTCAAAACCCAGAATTTCGACAGATAGACGGTGCTGCAATGTGTAGCCCACTTGGTTCTATCCTAGCAATATTACAACGAATCTCCTACGCTACCGTCTTCAACCAATCACACGGAGCCTCCCCCTGCCCCTATTCCATGATCGCTACTCAGTCGAGTCTACCTCCAATTGCATTTACCCTTTGTGTTACAGCTGCAAAGAAGCACATATTGGTTGAGCCGACTGATCACTAAAATGGTAGAACATATCCACAAGTATATGCGTGAATCATTGACTTAATCTGCATCACATATTCTGACTGCATCACGTGGACCGATCTCGGTCGTCTCACCCAGCGTGATTGAAAGTATTCACAAACGCCTTCTAGGTTATGTGACATCACTGATACAAACCCCGACTAAGTATACTTGAGGAATTTTCAGTCGCCCGAAAAAACCCAATTTATGTGTCCAAAAACGTGCGAGATAATCGGTTGAGAGTGCATGAAAATTAACAAATTTATCGGCGGAAAATTCTGAAAATTCTCTAGTACAGAAAATAAATGGCAAAGCCTTGTCACCCCAAAGATCACCTTTAAAAAAATTGGAAGATTTAGTTACTGATTTAGTACTTTCAATATGTCCTGAAAACTAGTGGAAGAACCGTACGAGGAAACTAGGTACAGACTTGGGGACCGCAGCTTTTCCAATATGGGTACTTGAGTAATAAATCCGTAAAATAGTCAAGATATATGTAATCAATAAATTGAACTAAATATTTTCAACGATTAAATGAGTGAATAAACAATGGCGTGTCCAGTGTCCGTTGGTGAGGTAAATTTGCGATAGTCTACGGAAGTATACTTGCGCATTATTGCCAGATTTGTCTTTTGACGGCAGGATTGTTCGGTACTTCAAAAAATGGGATAACCTAAATGAGACGAAGTCATTTTCAGAGGCAGTGGTAAATGTTGTTAACTGGCTTACTTCATAATTAGCAGTGGTGCTCCAACAACTGGGAATTGAGCATAATTAAAAGGAGCCATTTTGTCGAAAATTTGAGTTCTGTGGCAGCATCTGCATTATGCATTAGATCACATGTTGATAGAGTATCTGAAATCACGGTAATTTTAATAATAGTTCAAATCCCGGTTGGGACGGTGGATTTTCATTACTGATGGGCTCTAACAAGAGCGCAGCTCGGGTCTAGTGCTTCGGAGTGTTTGGTTGAATTGATGAACCGAGGATTGTGCATGAAGGTGAAGTCCTAAGGAAATTCAGTTCAAAACAATCAATTTAATAACCTCGGTGATATTTAGAATTTTCATTTCATCTTTACTTCACATTGTTTCAACATCATTATCATGGAATAGAAGGCAAGACAATGAAGTGAATCTGGCCTATCACGTTATGCGCGTAAATAGTAACGAGGTTTCCGCACGATACATATGCTACGAATGTTAAAATGGTAATCCTACCACATCAATATCAGTTAAGTATTAAAACAATCCCGCAGAGTTTATAAAGAGAACACAGATTTATGTTCTCATATCAACCAAGGTTTATCATATAAATATTTCTTAAAAGTCAAAAAACGGGCTAATCGAAGCCAGATCAAATGGTTATAAAATTGATTGAGGTGATCCAAAAATTGACAACATAGATAAACAAAAATAGTCAGCAATAATTATTGTCGCAGTGGTATTCAGCACGTCACGAAACTGTTCTTTGTAATTATTGCTCCTTAACAGAGCAATATGAACCCCGCTACAGTCAACCATTTGTGTACCGGTGTACCGTATTCAGCGTAAACATCAATCGAGAACGGAAAACAAGCGTGTCTTATTGCATTAATAAGTAATTTTGTTACCTCTAATTTTGGATCACATGCCGATGAGTACAACACGCGCCTTGCTCGAGAAAGATTATCCAGTAAGGATTCGTGATGCTGAATAAGACGACAGAGATGCATTCTGATTTTCGACATTTCCTAAAGTTAGAAATATTTTTGCTAAATGGATTGGGAAACGAAGGAAACTTACGTGATTCACTGAATGAATTTTATGCAGTTGAGTTTCCATGGTACGCTTTAAATTGCCCATAACATTAGTTTCCGCTGCAAGTACATCCTGCACATGGTCACGAGGCTGTACATCCGTTACTAAGCTCCTGTGGTGGAATGATGCAATTACCTGATTGTGAAAACGTTGATCACGTATTAAGCTGCAGCTTCTACTCATCCGAATGTCATTTCGAAAGTCATGCAAAAGGCGTTCAATAATATTTTTGTATCTTATCAAATGGTTTGTCACCGTTTGGGTAATTTGAAATAGTTCTCGTAATTTTTCCACGATTTTCACAATACTCTTGGTCTGTGTGAACATCACGTGCTCTCGGCCCTCGAGCTGGTCTAACGACAAATCGATTCGCACATCTCGCATAATGGATTCGGATAGAAGTTCAATGTGTCGGATGAGAGTTTCGAATCGATTAGTTTGACAAGGAGAATGAGAGGCTACGTTGAATCCCGACATCTTTTACTCTGGAAATGAAATAATTACCATGGTTTAGTTTTATGAATGAATTCTGATGCCAAATGAACTTAAATGTGGGCACTTTTGCTGCTCCAGCATTTTCATTCTCCTCTTGCATTTATTCTTGCTTTTCCGTCGGGCTATGGATTGTTTAGGAACTTTCATGCATATGTAGATTGGCTGTAAATAGACCGTATCTGTATCGTACAACAGAAGCCGAATGAGTTGGAGGCATGTTAGAACTGATCAATATTTGTATTGGCCTGTAAACTGTACATATCTTAATATCCTCTGAAGACCTGATTCAGGAACTCAACATTCTGAGTCTCCAGGTATCCTGGGAATTGATTTAAAAAATATACACGCATGCATACTGCCATTTCTGGACGCAATGCATGCTTCTGTGTTAAATATTGGATCAATTGAAGTATGCGGTCAATAAGAACGATGGTGTGCCTTTTGGTTAATAACTATCTGAAACCCTTCTCATCGATTTGGGTTTGACTCAAATGTTTTGGCTATCCTGCTAACTAGCATGGAAGTCAAAATGGAGTGGTAGGTATGCGAATATTTCCAAATAGATATCTATCTTGGAAGAAATTAGCTAAAATGATTCGGTTATTTTCAGAACGGGCTAATTCTGGATCAGAATGACAGACAATATTGTGTTACCAGTCAACGGAATATGTTTTATTGATTGCACATAGTATTTTGGAATTCGTCAGAATATTGATTCACTCTTAGCATCGGACAATGAACTATCCAATCAAAAGCTCCCCTAAGCATGCATTGAATCTGCAAATTAGGAAATTGTAATTTGCAGCACATATAATACATTGCTGGATACAGAATAAGGGAGCGTTGTTCGTGTGACCTCCTCTTCCACAATTAGTTGTCACCCTTGATTCCGCATTTGTTAACCAGCCGTCGAATAATCTTTATTCGTACTCCACATATATGGACTTGACTATAAGAAGCTGCTCTCATCTTCCGAATGCTTAATCTATGAATTGATTTTGATGCTTCCACGGTTTGTCGAATGCACCTTTTAAACTCGTAGCTGCTTTTTCAGCTGAGACAGACACTTCCCCTGTAACTGAATCATTTCGCACAACCACTATTTCATGCCGTTTTCGGCCAGTCACAATTACATATTTCCCCAAAAATGAGCCAGATCTTCCCTGTGATTTCACCTATTCCGCCCCATATTCTTAGTTTGACCGAAAAGGGATCTCCTATCAAGCGTCCACAGTAGTCGATGAGTGTACATTTATATTCATTTATGAAAGTGAGGGTTGTGTTAATAATCATTTATTTAACGAAATGTGTATCTTGAAGAACCAAAGAAGAGTAATTTTTAGATAGGGCATTTATACTTGCCATTTGTTTAAAATAATAAATAGTTCAACTTACAGTTATTGAGCCACTGTTTAACTACGTTGCCTTTGAAAATAGTATTATACTTTAGTGCATTCGATACAGACAGACAGTACACACCTTTATCGGTCCGTGCACACACAAATCAGATTTGATCGGTGCGCCCTGAGATTGGTCTCGGTGATTTCAAGTTCAGGCCGGGCAACTCAGAGATGAGGTCAACACGTGGTCGACTGATTGAGTGATTGATTGCAAAAAAGACCCCCAGTGATAAGGCAATGAAATTTATTTGGTTTACTGTGACAACCAAATAAACATAAAATGGGTTCAAATTCATCGCCATCAAGTGAATTCTTTTGAAATCCCTGCAATGTAAAACGCTTATGACTAGGTTCTATGGGGGATTCTAAGAAAGGACCTATTATACAGTGAATAACTTGGAGGCAGTTTCAAACGATATTTTATTCGCCATCCATAGTAAGTTCAAATAAATAGTGGAAGATTTTTAGCCTTAATTCATAAAGGTAGTTATTTAAACGGCACAGCCAAAATGCAATCTAATGCACCATACATTTTAAGAGCACTTTCAAGGGGTAACCTTACATGTACCCTCCGAAAATGTACAGTTTCGGAGCGGCGGTGATCGGGTGACTTCAATGACAAGTTTATTAACCTGCTTGCTTCGATTGGGATTCTGACCATCCACACAGCGACCGCAACCACAAATACCATTATCATCACGGTTACCATAATAACCACTACTAGCAATTGGTCATCATTATCACGAGATTCTGATTTCACTAATCGATCAGAATCGCCGCGGATGTATCCAGAGAGAAAATTCAGAGCACAGTTTGAGACGCGAATGCTGTGCGCAGGAGTGGGGCACATTGCAGCATCTTATACAAAACGTAATGAAACTTTTGAAATCTCTTCATAGTTTCTCTGCTTGTAGGTGAGCCATCTTCATGTGTAGTATTCCACAATTTGAACATTCATGACCCGGAAAATAAACTCATGTGTGCCCTCAAACAGGAACGGCAGTAGTGACAAATAACCTAGAACGTAAATGCACTATCGGGGCAAGGAAATAGACCGGCCGGTCTAGAGAATACTATTCGCCTTACATAGAAACCCAGAATTGTACAATTCATTTGTGACGACATTATCTTCATTGAAATTTCCTATTTAGGCTGGTTACGTAACTGCTACATGGACGTTCAAAGAAGATTATCATGTGATACTTAGAGTTGAAGATGCTACAAAAACGTGAAAGAGAGGTTGTGAAACGTTTGTTGCTTGGAGTAGAAGTAAAATTCAAACGAACTCGAAGAAACTTCTGATTGACAAAAGAAAGACAATCCCTCTCAACATCTATGAGGAAAAAACCATCACATATGGATTGTAACAGAAGTAAGCTGAAAGCTAACCATCAGGAATACTACAAAATATATTAAATTGATGGAGAATCTCACGAAATTGAACGAAAAGAAGTAAATATCGTGCCTAAGGAAAATGAACAAAAGGGTTTTTTCAATTTACTAAACTGTATACACGGATCACTTACAGGTTATGATTCAAATGAGATCAGAATTCAGTAGTGTGCACGTGTTTGAGTTGTTTGATCAAGTGTGGCAGACATGTGATAAACAACTAAGAAATTCACAAACTGCGGTGGTTTCGAAAGTGGAACGAGGGATACCGTCGATCACTAGCAGCAAATCTTACAAGCGGCGGGGCATGAAGCCGTTGAGATCACCAACAGACTAATGTCTGAAATAATGCCGACAATCTGGGTTGCGGTCGTTGAAGTAACTACAGAACCACGATACACGTTCAGCATGGAAACGAAACTTGAGACATTTCGTGAATGTACATTTTCGACGTATTCATTCGAAAGACTTCGATAAAAACAGAAAACCCAAATGAAATTCACAGTGACCGAAAACTATTTCTTTATATTTATTAGTTTTGCTTGAATATTTAGACATATCCCCTGTGAGCACCTTTTAAAGCATGTTGTAGCTTAATGCTATTAAGCTTATCAACTCTTTCGATTTTGTGGATAATTCCATGATGTCTTTTTCAAACTGTAAGACTGATATCAAGCAATGTTTTTTTTCTTTCAGACTCAAGTTATTTTCTACCATTTGTGGATGAGATCGTTTTCAGGCATTTACTCAATCATAAAAAACCTTGTTTAAAAATTCAAGTTTTTTTTTTACAATGCTTCCACATCAACAAGGATGAAGCTGTGAGGGTGTGCTTTTGTAAACTATCATATTTTAAAATTTTCTATTCCAACAACGGCACTAAATTTTTCATAATTAGTCACCTAAAGGCTCACTCTAATAACAAAACTAGTTTATTTACTTTCTTAAATCTATTATTTCAATGCACAACGATCCAGGACAACAGTTTTGTATTTCTCCAACTATAATATCATTAGCTCAGGTTTTTAAAACCAGCATTGCTAAAAGATCCTTGAAATCATGTGAAGCGAATGCATAGCTATTTGAAGCTTGTAGACAGTCTAACAGATAAAAATTCCCCATTGCAAGAAGTTGTGAAGCGGTAATCTCAGCTCGATTTCACTCTGGATTAGACTGTTTGAAGAATGAATTGCTTCAACAGGTGTTTCAAAACAATTTCAAATCTGAAAATATTGTTCTTAATTTGCTGATAGGTGCCACTCAGAAATCCATAGGTTGAACTCGGGTTCACAAGAAAACACCGCAATTTTCAATTTATCACCTATGACTCTGCGTCGAAGAGAAGCATAACAGGTTCCTAGGGGGCCTTAAAATAACTTAACAATGTCAAGACTACGAGTTGAAGCATCAGGCATGATCAGAATGCAACAGAGTTGAAAAATGGTCAAAAAATACATAAAGATATGTTAATGGGCTGAAGTTAGAATCGAAGATCAGTATACCAACTCTTGGTTTTGGTGGAATCGTGATAGTCACTAAATGTAATCGCTGTAATCTATCTCTGCATAGGAATTCGACTTTGGTGGATTTTGCACACACACACACACACACACACAGGGAACAGCTAAGATCGAAGCTTTGTAGATATGAAGAATTACTGACCAGTTTTGGAAACCAGTGACCTAAATCTATAGCTTTAAATTAAAAAATTGTGTAAAACCATTATAATAGATTGACATGGAACTGAGCCAGAAGAGATAGTAGGTACAGCTGAAGGTTATTAATGGTGGTTATTTTCAAACTCCCTGACTTGAAATACCGTATCGACCTGATGCATCAGCCAAGCAGCATTCGTTTGATCGATACAGCAGTCTGTTATCCACAGTCAGCGAGTCCAATCAAATCCAATCGATCCTAACTTGGAAAATGGTGTGTTTCCACCTGGGCTGGCTTAAAACATACATGAGTTTATTAAAAACCACATGCCAAAATTGAGAAAATCGTCAGTGACTATAGATGGGCTTCAGGATTGTCGTGTTCTTACGAGCCAGTAAATAGTGGATGCTGATTCAAGGACGCCGATCGTGAACGGCGAAAGCGATTTCTAAAAAAACGATTCCATCAGTCTCGCTTAAGTATGATCAGCTTTTGGGTAGTACGGACGCACGACGAGTCGTGGATACAACCTGT